GGGGGGGGGGGGGGGTGAGGTGGGGAGGAGGAAGGGGCTGAGACAGGACAGGTAGCTGCGTTTGGGTTCCATCACTGGGGACCTTGGGGAAGACCGCACAGGTGAATGATGTGTGAGCCTCTAGGGAAAGCCTCTGCTTGCCAACCACTTCCCCACTGAACCCACCTGGGCTACCCTTGCCCTTCTGGGATAAGCACGGCCCTCCCCCTGCAGCCACACACTAGATACTTGCCCCTTTGGGTCCAGATTGTCTTCTCCTGCACGCACTGAAAAAATATAACTTCCTGAGAAAGCCCACGTCTTCAACTGCTCAGGTGCATGAGGACAGAGGAGGCAGGAGTGGCCTTGTGAGTCCCCTCTGTCCTCTGCAACGCCCCCAGGGTGCAGACGTGAGTGAGGAAGTGCGGGACAGTGGGGTGCAGAGGAGCGGGCGGCTGGCCCCTCACTCTTGTGCCCCCCGCGCAGGTTCCACAAGCTGGAGAAGTGGCGGCGGCCCTTCTACCGCGTGCTGCAGGTGTACGAGAACGCGTCGGTGCTGCTGCCCGCCTTCTACAACACGCGCAACACCGACGTGTCCATCCGCGTCAAGTACGTGCTGGACGACTTCGAGTCGCCGCAAGCCGTGTACTATTTCCACCCGCAGTACCTGGTCAACGTGTCGCGCTACTGGCTCAGCCTGGGGGTGCGCGCCAAGCGCATCAGCACCGGCCTCATCCTGGCCACCGCGGCGCTCGAGCTCTGCGAGGAGGTGCACCTGTTCGGCTTCTGGGCCTTCCCCATGAACCCTTCAGGCCTCTACATCACCCACCACTACTACGACAACGTCAAACCCCGCCCCGGCTTCCACGCCATGCCCTCCGAGATCTTCAATTTCCTGCACCTGCACAGCCGCGGCATCCTCCGCGTGCACACGGGCACCTGCAGCTGCTGATGGCGGCCGCGCCAGGCTGCCCAGCAGGCAGAACCCCCTCTCTTCCTCTCCGCCTCGGTGGAACTGAGAGCCCCGTGCAGGGCAACGTGGGGGCCTGGCATTAAGGCTGTCACTCCATCAGTAGTTCAGCTTTGTGCATGGGTCCTGGGGCTGGGAGGGAGGGATAGGGGCCGGGTAGAGGCAGCTCCGTGCTAAGCCAGCACCACAGGTAGCATGCTGCTGGGCCGCACCCCAAGATCAGGGGGCCCTGGGATTGCAAGTGAATACAGCACATTTCCACGCAATTTTAGCATCCAAGAGAGCACAAACTTTAGTGTCCTTGTTGTGCAGCTAAAGGAAGGCCCTACAGAGAATGCAATAGAGAGAGGAGACAGGACACTTGACAGGACACTTGAGCACAGTCAAGATTTAATTAAGATTCTTGCTTTCCTGAGTTTTATACCAAGGACTCAGCCATGAATTGCCATCTAGAATCTCAGAGCTTAGAGGCCAACCCAGCGGCCAGACCTTCCAGTGAAGGAAGAGTGGCTCAGAGAGGTCCAGGGACTTACAAACGGCATCACACCAACCAAGTAAGTGACAGCAATGTAAGACACCATCAGCCGAGGAGAGCCACATCCACAGACACACACACAGTCTTGGTGCCTCCAGGTTCAATCCTGCATTTGCTTTTTTGATGAGAAGAAAATAAACCAGATCAGCTATTTGCACTAAGGTTTCCAAGTCAATGTCATGGACTCAGTAAGTGCTTAGCAATTTGCTTCCTCTTCTATCTCCCTATTTTCAGCTGCATTTAAACCAGGAGTTATTTATAAAGATGTATTCCTCTTCATGTTCTTGAATACTGCAGAATCCTGCTATTTTGTGTTCCTGAATCGGGACTGTAAGATTCCAGGCTGGAAAGGGCTGATGTGTCACGTGGTGAGTTTAGTCGGTGGAAGCAAGCCATGGCCTCTGACACCAGCATCACCAAGGTTTCTGCTATGAAGGGCAGGACTTCCCACAGCGCACGCCTGGTGGTCTCCAGACACATGGACGCACAGGGCCTGGGCTTGGCGACCTTAGCAGTGCCTACACTTAAAGGGGCTCACGTGACCTTTCACATCTGAAATTCATTTCCCTTGCTTTCCCCTGTGGTGTTTCCATCATTAATGTGACTGTGCCTAATGGATGCTGTTGATGAGTTGCCTTGGAACTTAGCTTTGTGGAGTCATAGAATGTTAGTGCTGGGAGGACTTTAGTCCACCTGCCCGCCTGACTTCCCTTCCCTTCCTTTCCCAGTTCCCAAATTTCTGGAAAGCCTACTCAGCTTTGGTTTGTGGTTGGGCTTGGGAAGACATTGTGATAAGGAAAGACATTCTCTGTCTTCCAGGGTGGAGGGCAGACTGTAAACAAACCACAGTCCCACGTGCCAGGTGCTGAAAGAGGACTAGAAGCTGCGAGGGTACAGCAGGGCGTGGGCCTTCCATCTGATCACCTCATTTTACAGGCAAAGCCACAGGCCCAGCCACTGAGAGACGGAGAGGGCACAGGCTGGGCCTCCAGGCTGCCTATCCCTGGGCTCCTTTATTGGTTAAAAACTCTTTGTCTTGGCTTGTGTTTCATGTTGGTGGGTCATTATGGAGCTTGTCCTCCATGCACAGCACTATTCTAGATGCTGACTTTCACCTGTGTTCTGAGCTCTGGTTCCAACTGGGAAAACCTCAGGCTGCTCTGAGTCACAGTCTGTGGTTCTGCAAAGTAGGGGAGTTGCCACTGAGATAAAGTGGACCCAAACACTTGGGGAAAGACTGGACAAGGACAGTGGGTGGTTATTACTTTCATGGGATCTGCCTATTTCTCCCAAGAAAGGAACTTCTGGGAAAGATTCCAGTTAACTGAGATTTCCAGCCACTGTTCGTGGTTAATGGAACCCAGTTCTTGAAACCATGGAATGTCAGAACTGGAAGGCTCTTAAAGACTATTTTGTCCCACTTAACAAAACAATCCTAGGTTGGGGAAGTGACCTGGGACAAGTTGTGCCCAGGGCTCTACCAAATGCCTGCTATGGACAGAACCCTCTACTGGAAGCCTTCTGGGTAACATTTATGTTCCAGATGGGGCAGTGTTTGGGGGCAGGAGCTTTGGTGAGTCGGACGTCAGGGTTCCCACAGCTGAGGGTATTGGAGGTTGGAATCTGCCCCAGCCAGGATCCTCATAGGAGTTAGCGATGGAGCATCAGGATCCATCTGTGTAGGTGTTGGGACACCTGGCTTATAGCCATATTTCTGCCTGTGGATCTCAGGGCAAGTCCCTCCTCTCCCACCGAGTCTCAGTTTTCAAATCTCTACAACTAGAGACTTAGAAAAGATCTCTAGGGTCTGTATAATGTTTTTCTTTTTTCTTTTTCTTTTTTTTTTTTTTTCTTTTTCTTTTTTTTTTTTTTTCTTTTTCTTTTTTTTTTTTTTTCTTTTTCTTTTTTTTTTTTTTTCTTTTTCTTTTTTTTTTTTTTTCTTTTTCTTTTTTTTTTTTTTTCTTTTTCTTTTTTTTTTTTTTTGAGCAAGTCATGAGGCATGGATCTAAGCCATAAATAATATTTATTATAATATCTGGGATTTACCATGCTCTCATTCTGTGCCAGGCCTTGCACTGAGCACCTTCCCTGCATTATCTCCCGTAATCATCCCAAGATGCCCTTAAGTAGGGAGACTCCATGGTATAGGTGAGAAGACTGAGGCTCAGAGCGATTCAGGGACTTGCCCATGGTCAGGCACCGAATGGAGGGTACTGCACCCTGGTCTATAGAACCCAAAGCCTGTGCCCCTGTGTCTTAGCTTCCCAGCCAGTGTCCCAGAGGAATCCTGACTGAGAGAGATGCCACTGCAGGGTTTTCTGGGACATGCTCTAGGGACAAATGATCTGGGAGGCAGTCTCTGCATGTAGGTGACTTTCCCTAACCCTACTCTCTGCAGCAGTACTGATCCACTCACAGTGGCACTGGATGGGAACTGAGGCCATCCCCACATTTTTCAAGTGAGGAGAGATGCCCAGAAAGGGTACATGTTAAGTGACAAACAGGAGTGACTTTCCCAAAGCCACACAGCCCTATAGTGGCTGTGTTGGGACTCACCCAGTCTCCAGGCTTTCAGGCCATGTTCTTTCTCCTGCAGTCAGTGCTTGTAGGAAAAATATTTTTTCAAAGTCTCAGAGAGACCTGGGCATTGACTCTGGAGGCCCCCGTCCCCATCCCACCATGCAGTGCAGATTACCAGTTAAATTCTTATTCAAGGGAAGTTGGTTCCTCACAAACAAAATAACCATCGTGTCTTCCTTTGTGCTAAACCCACTGCTCCAGACTTGAAAGACAGCAAAACCAAGCAAATGACTCGGTGTTGGCTCAAGGTCAGACGCGGCCTCGGAGACCGACCTTTGACCATTTGAGCGAAGCTGCCGCAGCTCTGCCCACTCAGCACCCGGTGCTGCAGGGAGCAGAGAGCGCCTGTGGCCCTTGACTTTGCTGTGCTTTCTGGCAATCGAGGGAGAGTAGAGAGCTGGCTTCAGCCAGTCATTCACCAAATATTTATTGGGTGCTCATTTTGTGCCAGGTGTTGTGCAAAGTGCCAGGGAACTAGTAATGAACAAAACGTCCCTGCCCTCCTGGAGCTTACAGGGTGGTATGTGTGTGTACAGATGTTAAATGAAGAATCCCACAGACACACGTAGGATCTTGCTATGCTGAGTGCTATCAAGTCCAGGTTCAGGGAGAGTCATCTGGGAGAGGAGGAGGAGGGGATGACGGGAGTCAATTCTGAATTCTGAAGGTCGGCAGCATGAAGGCTGTAATAGCCGAAGCCGTGGATGCTTCTCAGTGTCATCCTTGACGACTTTGTAACATTTGACAGGGTTGGCCCCTCTGGTCTTTTTGGAGTCCTCTCCTCCTTTGTTTTTTAACACACCGTTCTCCTGGAGTCCTCTCCTCCTGTGTTTTTTAACACACCGTTCTTCCCTGACTTTCCTCCCGTCTCTCTGGATGCTCCTTCTCAGGCTCCATTGTTGATTCATGTTCCGTGAAGCTTCCTCAGGGTTCTCTTCTCTTACTAGGAGTGTTCCTGCAGAAATCTCCAGTATCTCCTGTCCTTGCATCTTGGACCCCTTACCTGCAGGCCAGTTCTGCCTAGGAGCACCAGGAGCACACTCACCGTGGCTTCCTGACTGTCTGCATCTTCACGGCAGCTCAAACCTCTACGTATCCTCAACTGGTGCAGTTAAAAGAACAATCTGGACTCAGAGTCTCCTCCCACTACTTAGTGGCTATGTGACCTTGGGGGAGCTTTCGGAGCCCCTGGAGTCTCAGATTCATCATCTGAAAAATAAGGACAGGACACCAACCTCACCAGCTGCTATAAAGGTTAAGTGAAATAATGTTGCACAATGCCCAGCACAGTGCCCAGCACAAACTAAACACCCGGTGAGCACGGGTTCTCTCTGCCCAAACCCTGGGTCACGCTTGCCTCTTCCTTCTCCTTCACCCTCTGTGTCTATTTGTTCAAATCTTGTCAATTCCAACCCATAAATATCCATTGAATTCATTCCCTCCCTCCATCCCCTCTGCCACTGCCCTAACTCAGGCCCTTCTCACTGATCTTTCTGCATTCAGAGAATGACCTTCCAAAAACACCTTTTTGGAGCCCATTGTTTGCCTGTACCATAAAGTCCAGATTCTTTACCAAGTCGTGCAGGGCATGTCCCAAGATGATTCACTCACCATCCCAGAGACCCTCCTGTCACCTCCCTGCTACCAACCCCCAGCCCCACCCCCACCCAGTGCTGTGCTTTTGCACAAGCTGTTTGAAGTGCCTGGAATGGCCCCCTCACTCCTACCTCCCTCCCCTTCCCCTTACCTGGCCACTTCTGCAGATGACGTTGGGTTATGGCCCCTGCATCCTCCCCTCTGTGAACCTGTGCTGGGCACTGCTGTGTGCTTCTGCTGTTATTATCACCGACTTCTGTTAGGATATCTT